AGAGAGAGAGAGAGAGAGAGAGAGAGAGAGAGAGAGAGAGAGCTAGTTAAAGGTGGCAAAAGGGGCCCAAATTCGCCACGGTTCTGCTAGAGCCGTGGCGCCCATCATGGACATAGCAGATCTGTGACGGCTTTGAAGCTATTCTGGAAGGCCTTTGGCTGTGGCAAAAGATGGGTGGCAAAAGGGGCCCAAAGTTTCCACGGCTCTGTGAGAGCTGTGGCACTCGTCATGGATATCGAAAGTCCATGACGGCTTTGAAGTTGTTCTGGAAGTCCTTTGGCCATGGCAAAAGGTGGCAATAGGGGGCCCAAAACCGCCATGGCACCCGTGACCGACATAGTAGGTCCGTGACGAAGTTTTGGATGGCCTTTGGCCATGCAAAAGGTAGCAAAAGGGGCCCAAATTCGCCACGGCTGCGCCTGTCACGGATATAGCAGGTCCGTGATGGCTTTGAACAGTTCTGCAAAGCCTTTGGCCATGGAAAAAGGTGCCCAAAGTTGCCAAAGCTCTGTTAGAGCCGTGGCTCCCGTCACAGACATAGCAAGGCTCGTGACAACTTTAACCTATGGTAAGCCAGGGGCTTCCAACTTTAAGCCTATGGTGGGGCATATTCCCGCGAAGAAGCTTCTTTTATGAGATTAACATATTTAGTCAAACAACATAGATTGGGCTGATTCTAAAAACTATATAATTATATCTTAATTGTTTCCCTAAAACATCATTTGTTACGCAACAAAATACATTAGAATTAGCTTAATCCCTAGTTAGTTTCAAAGAGGTGAGCAACTACAAGATGCTCACGAACCATCTTAATAATTTTGTGCTTTGAGCTACGACATCTCTCAAGTCATCAACATTGTATTGCACATGATGAAACAAATTTTATGAGTTACTGAATAAGTGGTCTCTAATACAAAGACTCTCGTTGCATTGACCTCCTCAACTAACTTGGAGAAACCCAACTTCACTTTTTCAAATGGATCATTATTTTCTAATACTAGTTATACAATTGTTCTCACAAGGTCATAAAGCTCATGACGTCGAATGAAACTCGAAAATTTAAATACAGTCGAATTACGAGCACCACATTTGTCTTTGATACCCTTCTTTGCCTCCATTATCCACTGGCTCAAAATGTAGTTAGATGAGATCTCCAATACCTTCTTTATGTTGAACATTTTATGCATATATGAACAAGGGATTCCAACAAGCTAAAAGAAATGACATGTGCAAGTACACTTTTTGACTGATTCAATCAATATAACCATTCGAGGGATTGAGACACCGTGAATGTATTCCACCTTATATTTGGCAAATTTATCATTGCCTTCTATTAATTTGTTAAGGCAATTTGAGGACCTTACCTCCCCTTCTTGGAACTTTCCAAATAGTTTTTTAGTGTATCTTTGCTGCATGCTCCGCGATAAGGAAGGCTGTCTTTAGAACAAGTGTGGATGTAAGATCTTTACTGTCTTTCTCTTTTTTTTTAATGAACTTCTTGTTTTGCAACTTTTTAATAGCAATCATGAATTTGTGCAAACCTGTACCAGAAGTGACATATATCTTTAAATGATGATTGAACCCTTCACTTCATTGTGTGTTTTTCATGTTGACTGTGAATCTATCAGCTATGATGCATCAACTCATCGAGTGCGACAACCATATAACCACTTGAGCCAATTTTCTTCTTAAAGATTATATTTCTGAATCATAGCCAACTAATCAGCCTTGTATTGCTCAACTGTGTAGGCCGTAATACACTTCTTGAATACCTCTAAGAATAATGGGTGCGCATGCTCAACATGGCTTAGATGTGTTTTAAACTTTTTCGTGATGTGCCACTTACAAAAGTCATGATTAGTATTCATGAAAACTGTCTTAACTGCAACCGTTATAGCTAAAGCCTGATCGATGATAATTGTACCTAGTTGACAACCTCCCATTGCCTCTAGCCAGTTTTCAAATAACCAAATGAAATTTTTCTATAGTCTCATTGAAGATGAGAGTACAATATCGAAAAATTGTGTTTGTGTGATGATTAACTCCAAGGATTGGGCCAAAAGGCATACTGAATTCATTCATTTGGTGCGTGGTGTCAAAGGTTACCACGTCATGACAATATATACTTTGAATCAACCTATAAAACACCAAATAACCTCCCCACCTCATCAAGTTGAACTCTATAAAAGAAGGTAGGGTCCAATTCATTATTCGTATGCAACCAACTCATAACAACATTACCCTCTTTCTCTTTCAGTTGTTTTTTTTTTTCTAGTTATGTGATTATCAAGGTCTTTTTCAATGAAAGGGACATTTTCTGCCCTACTGCCCTCTTCAATAAGGTAATCCATTATCACCCTAGACTTAGTCATAGAAGACTCCTATGTGTCAATCACCTTTTTCACAATGTTTGGTATCTTTCGATGATAGCGAATGAATCTAGTTTTGTTGGGCATTGTGAGAATACGATTATATTCTTTTACAAACTTCACAATAACCCATCTATGCTTCTCATCCTTCTTAATGCGGATCTTTGCGTAAAATCCATATTTCGTGTTGGGGTGAGCATTTTCACTCCCATCATACATCTCACTACGAAAACCTTGCCTACAATATTCTAAAAGCTGACTAATTCTTCCAACATATTTTCATATGGTCATTCCCTTTCTTATACTAAACCCTATCAATTTTGCGTAGTTATTATAGTAATCATAAGCTTCATCTTCATCAGTAAATGCCAATCCTACTGTGGGTTCAATATTTACATCTCTTGTTAGGGTTGCCTTTGCATATGTAAGTATAGGATCTCCTTCTCCATCTATTGTAACTATGTCCTCATCAGACGGAAAACCATAGCAAGCTTCATCTACCATAGCTTGAGCACCACATTCATGCCTATTTTTTGAATTAGTAATGTCGTGGGGAGAGGAAAGAGATGCTGATGTCGAGGCGTCCATGCCACACGTATAGTATACCTGTTAGGTTTATGTGGTCAACTTACAGAAATAATGTGTAGAGTAATGGACAATTCCCACTGAAAAATAATAGACAATTCCCACTGAAAAATAATATTATTACTAAATTACCTATTTTTTACAATGATTTATTGAAACCAACGAATTTATCTAAAACAACAGATAGTTTATTTTCCTATATGTGTATTTGTTTTTAGCATTTTCTGTGATTTTCACTTTTTATTGACCGATTTTGGATTAAGTGAGGCCTTTTTGGTGATTTAAAACAAAAATGTCGTTTTTTACTCATAAATTTGATGCCTAGCATAAAAATTTGTGATTTATAGGCTGATCCTTCCATTTTTGGTGATTTATTAAGAAAAAACGTAGGGTTTTATTGGAACATTTCATTTTGGGAACTACTAAAAAAAATTGGGTTGGTTTTTTGGAAAAAAAAGAAGGGGTTGGAGTTTATTAAGAAATTGTGGGTTGAGTTCAGGCAAAAAAACTTGGATAAGATTTGAGGTGCACTAACTTAAATTGGTGTCGTAGAACTTTGTGGTGCAGGGATACAATTTCTATGGAAGCCAGGAAGCTTGAGAGGGCTTTGGTGGTGTCTGTAGCAACCAGGAAGCTTGAGAGGGCTATTGGGGCGTCTGTGGTTGCATGAGAGAAGAAGGCGAGCAACAAAGAGGGAAGGTTCGCAAAGAGGGGAGGTTCGTAGAGCAGAGGAGAAGAAGCGGGAGGATAGGGGTAGCGGGTGAAATTTTTGTAGGTTTGAAGCTTTTGAGGCAATCACAGTCTTGTGCACTGCAGTGCGTCTGTGGCAACAGATGGAAGGAGGAGAGCTCAAGAAATTTTGGAGCTTTGTAGCGATAGTGCAGGTTAGCAGAGAGAGCGGGAGGAGAAGGGTATGGGGTGAAACTTCTATCAGTTTGAATCTTTTTGCTTTCCTGCACGATTGGTTTTGAGCCAATCAGAGCCGTGGGTTTCATGAAAATTAAATGGACGGTTGATGTAGTATGACGAAATCATTGTTCCCTATCACTTATAGGCGTTGGGAAGACTTTTCCATACATACACATATCTATATATATATATATATATATATATATTAAGTCCGATGTAAGAAATTCTCATCCTTACTTAATGGAGGAAAATCTATTTTAAATACTCATCATTTTTCTTCCTTTTAGTGAATTGCCCTAAATTTTAGTTAATTTTCATTTGAAAACTTATAAACTTGGGCATTTATTGTATGGAGATTTTTCTTTTAAAAATGAGTTTATTATGAAAGCATGCATACCAAGTGTTAGGCTTCATTTCTTTAGATCTATATCAAATATGGGCGTGCATATCAAGTGTTAGGCTCCATTTCTTCATATCTATATTAGATATGCGCGATTAGAGATAGTGGTGGCTCAGAGACCATCACGTTTCTCGTGCGAGGGGACAACACCAGGTATGCACTTTCTTTAGCTTCTAGGAATCATTTTTTTTCCTTTTAGTGAATTGCCCTAAATTTTAGTTACTTTACATTTGAAAACTTATAAACTTGGGCATCTATTGTATGTAGATTTTGCTTTTAAAAAATGAGTTTATTATAAAAGCATACATACGCAGTGTTCAATGGCACATTTGACCAAAGTTTTTCATCTCTTTTGGTCATGCACTGAACATGAAACCATTTCATCTTTGATATTTTAAATATCCAGGCTAAATCTTGGTGCACGAAACTGTTCATTTCTACTGTCTAGGCTAGCAAGTCGTTCTAACTGAGATTTGCAGAGTCGCATGACGAAGTACTTTCATGAATATCTTTTCCCATCATAACTAACTCATCTTTTTATCCCGAGATTGCAACTTGAGTATTTGTCATGGTAAATTCTTGTTGTTCATTGCCTTGGAGAATTCTGAGCATGTTAGGCATGTATTCTATTTTGTAAAAGGAGGTTTCCCAGTATGTTTTGGCATGTAACAACACCTATGAGGGAACCTCAATCACGTAGCACTATGACCCTTAAACTTACTCTGAGATTCACTTTTATGATAATTTTGTCAAGATATCACATCATTTTTCCTAAGACAACTCGTTTTGGGTGAACATACAAAATTAACAAATTGCCCTTATTTCAAGGCTATATGGTAAAGACATCATGCCACATATTCACCATTAGGGGATGGACTGAGCTTTTATCCCCAGTCTAGATTTATACCATGGCAAACATAGGATTATGGGAGACCTACAGGATTAGGCCATTCGTTATAAACCACTCTCTTCTTATTGAGTTTTGTGTCCGATGGAGATTAGACGAACTCTATTCTTTTTCCTACCGGTGAGATGAGCCCCTTGATCGGAGGTGAACTCTATTCTTTAGTGAGATGAGTCCCATGATTGGACACGAACTCTATTCATTCTCAAGCCAGTTGAGATAAATACGATCCTTCCCCTTTTTCTTGCTCTCGAGAGGGTAGCACAACGCCTAAGAGGTCGCTAATGGCATCATGATGATCTGCTCGTTCCTTAGGAGGGATACTCAAGAAGGGCTCTCTGTCAACCCTAAACCCCATAATCCTCACCATATCTGCAATGGTGTGCTCATCTCTTTAGTAGGGAAAGGAATAGAGTTTGTCTCCAATCTCCATTGAAGACAGAACTTAGTCAGAAGTGAATGATCAATAATGAATGGTCTGATCCTATAGGTCTTCAATAGATCTATCCTAGCCAGGATCTACACTTGGATTGGAGATAAAAGCTCAACCTATCTCTTGATGGTATATAAATGACAGGAGGTCCCCACCATATAAGTTTGAAATAAAAGAAATAGTCACAGGAAGAAAAAGAAAAATGATAACTATATTGGAAAAGATCTCTAGCCTGATTTTAAAAAAAGAAAAAACAGAAAAAGAAAAATTGATTTACTTAGAATTAGATGTCCTAGGGTAGATGAAAAATGATCTCTATAAAGAGAAAAGAAGGACAAGTAAAAAAAAAAGAAAAAAGAAGAACATTTGCCCTAGCTCTGAGGTAGGGGCAGTTTGGTAATTTTTCATGCTAGCCCAAGACAAAGCTGTTCTGGAGAAAATATGTGATATCTTGATAAAATTCATCATGAAAGTGAATCCTAAACTAAGTTTAAGAGTCACAATGACACGTGAATGAGGCTCCCCCATAGATATTTTCCCATGCAAAACGTTGCGGGAAGCTTACTTTCACAACATGGAAAAAAATACCAAACATGCACATAATCTTCCAAAGTAGGAAAAAAATGAATTCAGAGTGGGAAGTAGTCATGATACTATTTTGAAACAGAAAAATAATTAATTATGACGACAAAGAAATTTATGAAAATGCCTACTTGCACTACTCTACAAGTAGCGAAAAAAAGGTGCACTGGCCAAGACAATAAAAATGGATAGTTTCATGGACCAAGGTCAAGCATGCATACTCAAAATATCAAAATAAAGAACTTTCATGCTCAGCACATGAACAAAAGCGATGAAAAAGTTTAGTGAAACATGCTATCAAACACTTAGTTTGCACGTTTTCATAAGAAGTTCATATTTAAAACAAGCAAAATCCATACAATGAATCCCCAGGTTCTAAGCTTTTTAAACTACATGATGAATAATGACCTAGGGAAATTCATTAAAAGGAATAACAACGAAGAAAACATGATTAAAAAAGCATTGCAAAGCAAGAAAATGCATACCTGACGTGCTTCCTTCGAGTGGGAAACATGCCAGTCTCCAGTCCGCCATGGTTACTGATCCGCCATGTCTAAACAAGATATGAAGGAGATCTCAGAAGCATTGATCCAAAGGAAAAGAAGCAAAATGTGCCAAAAAAATCTCAAAAGATTAGAAGAAATGGGGCCGAATGGGACCCACCTAGACTCAAAAGAGTTTAAAGATCAAGAGGGAGACGAGATATGAGAGAGAGAGAGAGAGAGAAGAAAAAATCAAAATTAGAGGGAAGCGTCGGCCCCTTGCAATCTTATAGCTCCATGAGGGCTGTGCGATGCGTGGCACATTGCGCACCCCCACGTGACACAACCGTATAGCACAAATGGGAGGGGAAAAAGTGAAATAAAAAAGTTTTTTTCTAGAAGCTCGAAAAAAACAGAAAGAAAAGAAAAGATGGCTAGGGTAGTGGACCCCACACCCATTGAAAACAAATTGGAAAAAGAAGAAGAAAAGACTCAGAAAAAATAGGGTAGGGGCAAAATTGTTATTGGACAAAAAAAATGTGAAAAAATAAAGAAAAATGAGAAATCAAAGATCCGATGCTCAGAAAAAAGTGAAATCAGTTATCAAAGATGCCATAAACAGTCAGAGCAATCCTCCACTATGTCTGACACATTCAAACACCCTTCATAAATTATCTTCAATCACAAAACTCCAAGGTCATGTGAGCAAAAATGGCTCACCAGTATCAAAATCCAATAAAAAAATGTCTAAACCATACGACGTGAAATAGTAGGGAAATGTCAAGTCATACGTCAAACTCGTGTGCCACAAAATAGCCGGGGATAAAAAGACGTCTAATCCAAATGGTTATAGAAAGACCAGTACCCAATCTCAATTCAACGTCAAACCCGTGCTATTGAAAAGAGTCGAGGCAAGTACAAGAACATCTATCAGTGTATGATATAAAATTATTCAGATTGATCCTTGGTTGCACGAGCTTAAAAGGCTAACCAAAATAGAAAATTTTAAAAATTATAACCCATCTTCAAAACCCCCCCTATATGTTTATGTGAAGTATTCCAAAATTTTAATTTCTTTGGTTAAAAAAGTAGCCCATAACTCAGAATATGTTTCAAAATCCTACCTATTTTTAAGGCCTTCTAAAATGTTTTAAAAAATGATGGAGTTTCACAGAAGCTTGGACATGTTTCTACTGTTACCAGATTTCG